TTGGGTAATCCTGTGTAGCAGAGAGCATTTTCTCTCAAAGGTGCGTTCCGCGATTACTCACAACAATTTGATCCCTTCTGGACCCAATGGATAACCTTGCACAAGTTTAGATTCAATACGGTGTAGGATGGGACCGTTGGAGAGCAGGGTTTCTAAAGTCACTCCGTCCGCATTTACAGCTACCGCATCTGTCATCCTACTTGCTTGCATTTTCTCTCTTGTTTTCGACGGCTTGCTGTTGCTATTGCTATTTCTTCACGTTTTTCAACCGGAGAACATCTATGGGGCTTACCGCGAAAAGTGCATTTAACCGGAGGGACTACCGGCCTCCAATGGGACAACATGGGGCAAGAATTGAAACCTTTTTCACCATTCATTATTCATTCATTTACCTATTACTCCCACTGAATCATTGCACTTCCTGGAATTTTTTGACAGCGATTTTGTGACTGTCCACATCTTCTCGTTTCCACATCACCTAGAAATCTGAAATTAATTTAGTGTGAATGAACTATACCGTAGCTATGACGTACGTTCCTTTGAACAAGACAAAGATTGCGTCAGCTGGCCCGGAGTGTTTCATAGATCCTTATTCATATAAATACCGCTGCGACTCAGCATGTAAGTGGAGCTCGCGGTGCATTCCACAGAGGGGCTGATCAACGCCTCTATGCTTCCAGTCCTGTTTACTACACGTGGCAAAGATGTTGAGGAAGCTTTCCGTGATTTGAAGATCGAAATGGGGGCTATGTAGCGGAGCAGAGCGGGGACGGGGGAAGGGTCGTACCAGTGGAGGAAATTTTGAGAGGTTAGTATTCTGCAAAATTCCTCTGCAACAGCAAGGAGGTGCCTCGTCGAGAGCTCATACTTTCCCAAGACGGATGTAAGTTGAAGATGTAAGGTACGATAATCTGTTACTTACTCGATAGCAGCAGCGGGGCTATGTCATGGGGAAAATGACGAAAAAGCGAAGCGAAACGGCCAAAAACCTGCGAAAACCTTCATTTCGCACTGCGTTTCGCACCGCACGTTTCGCACTGAGCTTTTCTGGATGA